AAAAAGTTTTTAAAGACATTTTCTTGTCACTTGTTGATCATAAGAAAATGGAGCAGCTGACCAATCAGAGCAGGTCTCTATGAGGAGGGGGAGGGTCTTAAAGAGACAGAGGCTGAACAGAGGAGCTGCAGCGATGGACACGTGACTCTGAACATTAGAGCATGAAAACATTTGACTTCATGTCTTTTGATATGAACGAGTGAGTGACGAGCGTGTTCATGTGTAAACCAGCTCGTTAAAGTGCATCTCTAGTGGTGGTGCATTCTGGGACAGTGTGACTCTGCAGCGGTTTGTTTAAGTGAGGCCGGACTAACAGAAACATTCCAGATAAACCAGCGGACGAGGATTCAGCTGTGACGTGTCGGTGACTGCGTCGTCCTCTGCCAGCTCCGTGTCTCATTTCAGTCCACACAGCCTCAAAAGGACAAAACTCCTCTTAGCTGGAGCCGCCCAATGAGACGAGTGTTTGGGGAGCCGCTCAGCAGACGGCTCCTCTTTGCCTTTTAAAGATATCGTCAGACACCGAGCAGAGAAAAAAGCCTGTTATGGTTTTGTGTCTGCTGGAAGTCGTCATTCCCTTTCCAGGAGTTTGTGTTTCCCTCAAAGACCAAACTCTGCTCCACCATTTCAAACTGTCATCACTCATCCGTCCTTCACTCGTTGTGTGTCTTTGTCTCACACACGATGGGAAGTTCCTCAAATTCAGCACAAACGTTCACCTCATTTGAACTGAGTAGATCCCAGAGGTCAAAGGTCACTGTGACCTCGGTCTGGAAGTGGGTGATTCCACCTCTTAGCCTCACTCGTGTTGTGTGTGTGTTTGTTCAGGCTGCTGGAAACGCTGTGAAGCGAGCGTCTGACAACCTGGTGAAAGCGGCGCAGAAAGCAGCGTTCGATGCTCAGGATGACCAGGCTGTGGTGGTCAACAATAAGATGGTGGGAGGAATCGCTCAGGTGAGACGCACGCACACACAAGGCCGCCTCGACCTTTGACCCTTGTCTTCAGATAGTACTCACACCAGGTTCGGTGTGAGTACTATCGATGTTCCTGAGTCACTCTGTACACACGCAGTGAGGGGGTCACCTGATCCCGGTTGTGTGGTGTTTCAGATCATGGCCGCTCAGGCGGAGATGCTGCGGAAAGAGAGGGAGCTGGACGAGGCCAGGAAGAAGCTGGCCATGATCCGACAGCAGCAGTACAAGTTCCTCCCCACAGAGCTGCTGCAGGACGGCCAAGAGCAGTGAGCCAGTGTGTGTGTGTGAGTGTGTGTCTGTATGTGTGTAATGTAACAGTGATTCAGGACCTTCCCCGGCTCCCTGAGGACAGGAGGCTCCACCGAACATCACATCCAGTTCCTCAGGACGCTTTTTATCTTTATTCCATTTTCAAAAACAACGCCAATGATTATTGAATCTCATGAAATATTCTCCTTAAGTCCTGATGAGCGTCTGAGCTTTTGATTATATTTGATCTTCTACGTGTTCCTCTGTTTCTTCTCCGCCTTGCATGTCGTCATTTTGTATATTATGTGTTTCCGTATGAACCGACGTCGCCAGTAAATTCTGCCGGTACAACGTCGCTGTTAGATCTCAGATATGAGGGCGAGCGCAGTGTATGCTAACTATGCTAGCTATGCAAACAAATGTATTCTATGCAGATGATTCTTTTTTTGTATTTCCGTCTCTGGTCACATGACTGATGATGTGTCACGTGTTGGAATCTGAGATAAACTTTTTGCTGTTTTCAACTTTGGATTTGGAACAAAATCAACTTTGCGATGAAACAAATCAGTGGGAAAACTTTTTTAAAGGTCGAGATATGAAATGTATGAACTTCCAGTTAATGTCAAAGTGTTTGTGTGTTCGGATCAAAGCAGCCGCAGTATTGAGGATTAGTTCAGTCGTGTTTATGTAAAGATTATGAAGCCATATATTTAACTTTAAGCATCGTATTGACTCTGTGCGGATGCTCAGTATTGACTCACTCCAGTAACATGTTTGTGTTGCGGTGCTTCGTACTTCCTGTTTCCTTTACACTTCAGTGCTTTTAAAGTGATGATGAAATGTGCCCAGTATAATTTCCTGATGCCAAACATTTACCCTCTTAAGTGCACTTACTTCAAACTGTCGTTCATTTCAATAAGAAAACCTCACACTCCTTTCCTCCACTTTATTTCTAGAGCAGAAAGATCCACACGTCTAATATAAAATGACTGTAATCATAGAAGTGTATGAAGCGATGCTGGTGAGCAGTCCCACCTCCTGTAACAGATTTATATTCAATAAAACCAGTTTTACAGTGAAACCGCTGATTCTCATTCTACACGTTCCTCACACTGACTTTCTGTGAGTACTTTATATTTCTCTGCATCGTATCGGCACATTTTCACCTTTAGTATTGTTGCTGATGAAGTCGAATCTTATTTAATTAGTTTAATTGATTTAATTTAATCATTTATCTGAAGGATTAACTCTCCTGTCACGTTTAGTTCCTCTCTCTTCGTTTTCACGTCATTTAAGAAGAAAGAGTTCCTGATTTACTTCTTTTGGAGAATCTGGATTTAAACATTATTCACCTTTATTTGCAAGATACAAAAAAGTTTGACCTTATTCTCAACATTTCAACTTTATTCTCAAAATGCAAAATAGAAAAATAAACTCTTGTTCTAATTCCTGGTTCTAATAATAATGAATTATTTAATAAAAACTTTTAGACTCAGACTCTCTTCACTTCTTCACCTGTTCACTTCTTCATCTGTTCACTTCTTCATCTGTTCATCTCTTCACTTCTTCACCTGTTCACTTCTTCATCT